CGCATTGCATTATTGTTATTCTCATTTATTTCAATCCTTAATATATTTTATAAAAGTTCTGCAAGGTATTGGTTTCCATTAAGAAATGATATATTAGAGCTATTTTCGGGCTGATAAGAATTTCCACTTTAGATGTAGGTTGTTTTTGACGGCTGTACTGGGATCCTTAAATATGTTAAATATCATTTACACAACACATAATGGATGTTGGACGACTTTATCGCCATACTTTTTACGAGTATCCATTTGAAGTTTTTACTCATTTCACTATTCATTCTGATCCCATACTTCAAAGCACTTAACATTAGGGTGGTCAGGTGGTGCAGTGGATAACACACTTGCCTTTCACCAAGGCGGCTGGGGTTTGATTCCCCGATAAAAGGTATCGGTTTACCAGCCTGACTACTTGGGTTTACTCCAACATCAAGACCCCACACACGCGGGCCAACAAGAATGATAAGTATAAGTTGAAACACCTCAAGACCCTAGGCACTGGACGAAGTCGTTTAAAGATTTTGAGAAAAGACCTTCAATATTGGTGACAGTCATCTGTTGGAGAACAAACTTGGTAGCCCTTCATCCCAGCTATCCACCCTACTCCAAGTGATTAAAAAAGGTCATAGATTTAGCCCATTTGACCATTGGCCTTCACTATGGCGGAAGATCCTTTTTAACAAACTTGATAGTCCTTCACTCAGCATGCTACTGGCCAAATAATATCGCCTAACCATTTTGCTGTAACCCTGAAAGAGTGTCGAGGTCATTCATTTGAACAAAGTTCATAGCCCCTCTTCCCAGCATGGTGCTGGCCAAATATCAGCATAGGCCTCTCGGTTATTCAGAATTAGTTACATATTACAAAGTTGACACTGGATAGATGACTGATGCCACACCATGGCATAAGCTCACTTGGTCCTTCTGGCAAAAAGAGTTTAAAGGTTTATGCTGGACAGACGAACTACAAATACTGCACCACAGTATAACAGCACTTGGCCATTTGTTCAACCATAACATAAATTCAATTTTCAAGGTCACTGGTCAAATCTGTTTAAACATTAAACATCCATAAGGCCTTACCACAATAAATGCCCAGCAACTTACTGGCAAGAATGCTACCAGTTTCAGTAGTTGTTCTTGTGGTTCCATATCAGACTATGAAGGATGGTAAAAAGTCGCATGAACCTTCGGCTCAGGTGGCCAAAAAACAACAAAAGAACAAACAAGTTTTCTTTATAATAATTTATCAACATTGTAAATAAGCAGTTCAGGCTGATAACATTTATTTCTCTATTTTAGTCATTACACGTGTCACAATGAATCCTTTCTACTTGTACTCATCGTGGACAATATTGGACTGAACAGAACATCTCAATACACAGTAGAAAAGATACAGCATATATGCTGTCATCACTTCTTTCACGTTAAAAGTTGTGAAGTGGATAGTATCACATGATGCCAAGCATCACTTAGCACAGACATAGGCATCACAGAAACTATCTCAAGTATTACTTACTGTCTGAACAGGATAGGGTTTATTTTAATTTTAACTAACATTGTCCTTCTTGGAAGTAACAAACTAAGGAAGCTGTCATCAATATTGGTAAAATGTTTCTTAACATTACTAAATCACAGATCATCCTTATATGATTGGACAGGCTGTCTATACACAAACACTTAACAAATTTTACGGTTCCATCATTTAACATTTAGAACTTACATGCACTGTTAATAATAAACAAAGTACTGCTGTTGGAAGTTATAGCCACTAACATAGGAAGGTAGATAGTAAGAGGATTGTTGAATCGTCCATACATAGTCAGCTAGTGATGTCAAGCAAGTCTTAGTCTAAAGGATGCTGTAATATATTGGCTTTGTATAGGACTAAAGATTGTTATTAAAGGATAAAAATACAAAATCTAAAATACAGAGCAAAATTCTGGACCAACGTATCTAATAATGAACTTTCATGCACTGACACTGATATTTGTATGTGAAAAAGCGATGTTGGAGGACTACTAGATTGGAAGTGTTACTTTATATAAGGTTCAGTTATACTGGATACGTGAATTCATATTACCACGAAATGAACACTTGTGAAAATAAACATGTACAGATGGCTCTCAGAAATAAAGAAACTGAACTGAAACTTGGTATGATTTCTACTCTCTTTCTCTCATCACTACATTTGCGTCGGTTAAACCAACACTTGAAATGTAATTAAATATGAAATATTCTTTCAAATTGGAATCATTGCTTCAACATTGGTTCCATAGCATACTTTTTCTCTCTCTCTCAGGCCTGGTTTTCCTGTATACAATGACCATTTTATTTTTAGCTGCCACTTATGAAATAATATGCACTGAAAAAAAAGGTTTAAGATGACACTAACTGGTTTGAATGAAGTATACTATATGTGATGAACATCAAATCTAGTTAATAAAAGCTAGAAATATGTAGGGATTCAAGTACTAAATAAGATTCAGTTATAACAGAAATATGTCGTGATTCATGACTATTACATACAACACAGATCTTTTCTTAAACAAATTATGATCAATTACCTTTTTAGCAGTATATAACCTTGTACAAATGTATCAATCAGATCAATGATTTCGTGTACCAGACAAAACATTATGGACAAATCGCTATCAACAAATGACAAAAACTTGGTGTAGTCTTATTGGTACTAGGCTTTTAACAAACTAAAAAAAAAAGAGAGTTGTTTTTGGTTTCATCACTAAAAATCTTGATATAGAATTGTATGGTTTCCTGCATTCAGTCCTAATTGTGAAATATATGTATATGTATGATATTCAAACAGGCAACCATGAACTACCTCTACATCTTCAGCTTGAAAGGATACACATTCCTGATCAACTTACAGCGGTTCCATTAATAAGAAGTCTGATGTAAAAGGGAACATATTTGTATATCTGAGTGTATAAATATATTTATCACATAATGTACCGTTATCCAGTGAATATACACATGTCATATTTTCTTGCTTATTAACCCATGTAATATGACCTATCAGCCCTGTGATTGGTTGTAAGTTTCAAATGTTTCAATTGTGACGGCACGCCTAGGACAAGTACATGATGTCATAGACTTACGCACTTGCGTCAAAACGGCGACTTTTTTACATATCAAGGTTGCATGAATATTGATGTTTTACACGCATAAATGCCACAACGCTTGATTATGTGTTGAAAAAGGATCTTCCACTCGTTTTCATTTCATATGAAATTTAAGAAACTTGTCACGAATTTTTCATTCTAGCTCGCCCGAGGCTCGCTAAATTGAAAAATTCTTAAGACTCGTTTCATAAACCTCATATGAAATGGAAACTTGTGTAAGATCCTATATTTATATATTAATGTGCTAAAGATACCTGTAAGCAACATAGACTAGCCTACATCACAGAAATACAACATAATCCATTTTGACAACTCAAAACTACACCGTGCTAGAGTTTGTAGAATGCGTTAATTATCATGTAAGAGATGCTTTCTTTAAGATTTAAGTTTCCAGGAGAACCCCTAGATAACTTGAGTCCAAGCTTGATAATAACTTTTACGGGGTGTTTAATAACATTATTTTCATACCTGGGAATCAACTTACAGAATACGCAACAGCCTGCCAATTTGCCACAAAAAATGTGGCAAATTGTCTTCAGCTGTCATTGTTCAATACACCCAGTAAACATTACAGGTATATATCACCATACAGATTTAATTTCTGTTTGTGTATAGTATTAGCACAATGCTTTCACAATGGAAAACTATGATAGTACCAGTAAGGAAAAATTCACACAGCAGCTTCTACCTTTGAAATACATTGTAACACAAATCATACTGCCACTACAGTTTACCTGCATACTTTATATATATTTAGGCAAATATATGTTTCTTTTATTTTAAAATAAACAAAATGGTAACTAAGGAAAAACAGAGAACAAATTCTGAACGAAGACTCCAGATTACATGACATGCCTAGAGAAAAACTGAAAGCTAACTGCATTGATACGCAATATAACTACTGTAATTGTTTTATAATCTCGTACTCACTATATTGTTAGTGTAATCTTTTTCTGATCTGATACTCCGTATTGCCAGCATAATTTTCTAATCTGATATTCAGCTTTCCAAATGTAATTCTTTGTCGATTCGTTACTCTGTTTTTCTAGTGGTTTGTTTGTGTTTTACGTCCTATTAACAGCTATGGTCATTTAAGGACATACCAGGTTTTGGAAGTGGAATGGTTTACCGATTTGATACTTGGTACAAAAACATGTAGTTAATTTTTCTATTTGATATTCAATAGATCCTGTAGTGTTAATAGACACAAAAAAATTCCAAGTATCAGCGATAATTTTCAGTTCATAGATAGCGATTTAACAATAATGAACCATATATAACATACATAATACAGTGGTTTTATAAGAGTTCAAGCAAAAAGTATCATCATGTTATTACAGCTAAAACAGTTCACATTATACAATACCTGTGAGGTTAACCCCACAACATTTCGTTTCTTATTATCACTGGCTTAACACAAAACATTTGTAAATCATCATAACTATTTCCTAAATATTTTTTGGTCCAAGACAAGCTCTCATATCAACACCACCACAGTTCAAGGTTATGTTGTAGGGAAACCCCTCAGAGTTTATGTCACCCGGCAACACCACACTTTAGGACATTCGTCTTACTACAAACACTTCTGCAGCCTAAACAAAGCAAAGATGTCAACCCTCCCTCATTAAGAGGGAGACTCCCTCATTTTGACCAAAATTTACCAAACTCCCTCAAAACTCTCTCATTCAAGTCCAAACTCACACAAACTAAAAATGTACATCCTGTGGTCAAATGATCTCCTAGTTTTTGCCGGGTGTGTGTAATGGTCATAACAGGTGTATCTGAATCAAATGAATGCTTTTTGGAGTTATTTTGGTATGTAAAAAGGGGGAAAATAAATTGAGCAAAGCAGTTTTAGTCGTGTTTCACACACTTTCTCACTCATCGGAAATGTGGAATGAGGGAGATCTCCCTCATTGAAGGTTTCAGAGGTTGACATCTTTGACAAAGTAATAAAGGTAAAAAATCTATTGCACATATTAACACAATACTACAGTGTAACAATCTAAATATTGATCAAGCTTCATAAAAATATTGATAAAAAGTATTTGAAAACCTTTTATTTCACAAACTGAGTATTAAATTGATTCCATTAATTTTCATCATATGCATGGAAAGCCCAAAATCGCCTTTTTTTCTGTTGGATTTTTTTCTCTGTTGGATTATAAAAAGAAATAATCTGTATTACTGTTATAACAATTTTGTCATTACACTTGTCCCACACTGCTTCAGGTATTCCCAAGTTTGTTATTGGCTTTTTTTTTTTATATAAATCTAAGCAAAATGTTCCCAGAAACATCTTAATGGAAAAGGAAGAGAAAAAAACACCTAATAAAAAACATAACTGAAAGACAAACTAAGTTAAAAAAAATACCCGATAAATACCATTTGCAAATAATGCTGACAAAAAACAGTATCTGCTAGAACATGGATGTACTATATGTATAAATCCGTCCTAGGGATGATAAAACTCAAAACTGAAAATTTAACAAATATTTAGAAGATATTGTTGCAGCAATTAAATTTCAAGAAAAGTCACTATTTTTTGCAACAGACAGGCTAATGTAAATCTCCTACGATTTGTAAAAAGCATCATTTGCAAATATAAATCAGACTTTATTATTGTTTATGCTTTCAAGCATGCCATGATCACAGTACAAAGCAATTGGGTAAATAAAGTCAAGTTCCAAAATAAGCATGCATTTTAATAGTTAACATGCAAATTGTTTTTCATTCATTGGATAGGAATTATCTGATGAACATCAAACTTGGCAACAAATTATACTAAAAAGAGAAATATTTATTTTAGTTCCCCTGGGGCTAGTAAATACATCAAACTGTAGCCTTTGAGGACTGTGCTTTGTGCTAGTATATCCAATTACATGTTAAATGCTGTACTGGTATGTTGGTTGGCAAATCCTAAAAGCACATATCAAAATGATTAACATAGAAGTAAACATTCAGAGTACTTGTAGCATTGATATTGACAAGTGCATTTAGGATTTGCCAAACAAATGTTACAATTCCGAAATACAAGTAAAATGGTCTTAAAAGACACTTATTCTGAGAGCAGCACAATGTCATTACGATGTTGGCAATCTTGTATATAAAATGATGGGAAGCCGTTCATGTTTCTCGTCATTTAGTCAAAATATTATGCAGAAATATGAACCAACAATGGAACATGTGTGTAGTAACAAATACATCATGTACAGTAATTACACCATTGTAGCATTACATCAACATGTAAACAACAAGTACAGCTGTTAAACCATGCCGTATTTCACCAACATATATAACAATGGCCATTCTTGCACCACTCCGTTACAGCTGCCTACCGGTATATGCATATTTAGAACTTTGCATCCCCTAGAACACATGATGCAGGATTGCATTGCTAACCTGCCTACCACGACACACACTAGACACTATATCTTATAGCCTACAACCTATTTTTAAATAGCTTTCTTAAATTGCACCATATAGATTTCTACCAATGACTGCTTCTAAAGCAGACCTTGGGACCATGGAACAATTGAAACAAATTTCTACAAATATGTCTGACAGGTAGTTTGATAAATTGCCAAATTGTTTCGCGATCCTGCAGCTAGAACAACTTTTAACATAGATTTACATGATTAAACGGTGTCCCAAAGGGAGTAGAAGATAGGCTAACAAAACTTGCTGTAAACTAATGGCAGACAGGATCATGAAATAAGAAATGTTTTAAATCTACGTTGGCTTTTTAGCTGCTTCTGTCATATGTCCAACAATAATTTGACCAAACAATCTCTAAAAAATGCCAACAAAATAATATATCCATTTAGAGTTGATCATAGCCAAACTTTCTCTACATCGGTCCTATTACAATAAGTTCTTGCCTTAAGAATACTTATCTTGTTTATACTTAGTAAACATCAACACAACATAAAAGGTCTACAAGAATTATATCCCAGTATGAAATCACATTTAATTGGTATCCATTTTCCGACTTCCATCATGTTGTATGATATTTATCCGTAGTTTAGAGTCTTCAGCACTGTTTTTTAAAAGGTTTCCCTCCATGTCGTCGTAATTGAACGAATTGCTTGGCACTTTTTGTTGGGCATCCTGTGTGTTTTCATTCTGATTGATGTGGTTGGCCAGTTCAGCAAACTTGGCAACATAGTCTATACTGTTCTCATTTAACATACACTGGAAGGAGGCATCCATCTGTAACATATACACAACTCTAAATACAACCAAGACTTGGAGATAATACCAGTATTTACAGCTTTGGAAATCATAATCAACCAAAATCATTCCAAATTTTAAAGGTACATTTAAGGTTAGTGAATCCTATATCACAGGGCACACACACAAATTTGGCACAACTAGGCTTTTTTCAAGGTAAGAAATTTAACTTGCAAGCACTATTTTTAATTATAAAATTTATCTCAAATACTTCCACTTGCTTTACACAGTACAATCAAATGTGATTAGTCTTTTTTTAACACATTGTCATTGAACTCTTTCACTAAACTGCAGAACTGTTAGTTATCTACCTCAAACAAAACATGTCAACATCAGCAATGTTGTAATACCTTATATCACACTTTCCATCTCATCAATGTTTATATTGCCATGTGCTTTTGGAAGTTGACTAGACTACCAATATTTTAAAATGTTCCACAGGGTCAATTTCTAACAACTTTTTGAAACGGGTGAATTGAAAACATTTATTTTAGTAATTAACCTTACATCACAGCGGCCCATGAGGGAGTCTCGAGAGTTTTCATTGAACAGGTTGGTACTGATGAGATTTGATAGCGAGGACACATTGGCACTAGCTACTGCGTCTGATGTTCTCTTAAGGGGAGATTCCGCCAGCAGTGTCAACAGCATGTCACCAGTGTCCTGTAATCATGGAAACGCATATCAATTTAAACTGTGATCTTCCTCTCTTTAAGTAAAAGTTGGACAAAATGATCTATGTGTTGATGGGCCATTACGAACCAACGAATGATGCATTATTTGAATAACAAGATGGGTATTAAAAAGCATTACTTGCCTTTAACTTTTCCATACACAAGTTTTACAGCACAGCACTTGTTCAGCAGTAACCTGCTTGTGTTTTCTGACTTTCAACGAATGCTTAAAACATTTACTTCATTGGGCCAATGTCAATGGCTGGGACGGTGTCAAGTTCATAATTTCAGATTTCACAGATGTGTTTTAAACACTTACATTGTTGGGCTATAGAGAATAGCTGAAATTGTGTGGCAGAGATAAGTTTATGTTTTCAAACATTAGAAGAATGTTTATATTTAATGTACCTAAATTATTGTAGAGTTTTGTTTAACCCACTTTATATTTTCAGACTTAATTTCAGACTGGTGTGTTGAAAACGTGTATCTCCTTGGGCCATTGTGAATAGCCGAGACAGTTTGGCAGTGACAGAATGATGGTTTCAGAATTCAGAATGTGTTAAAAATACATACCTCGCTTGGCCATAGTGAACGGCTGGGACTGTGCGGCGGGGACAGGTTCATGTTGTCAGACTTCCTTGGTGTGTTCAGAGCACTACTGGGGTACTTCCTCTGGTTACCACCATTAAGGAGATCTACATGTAAAAACAAGGACCATATTATCTATCTACCTAAACTCTCTGTAGTTTATACTCTCAAAATAGCCCTAAGGTAAGACTAACAATCAAAACAATGAAGAATATTCTGTAAGTTTGTCCATGCATCAATTATCAATTAATTAACTGAGCCTAGCTGGAAAAAAACAATAGATAGCTATGTAGAACGTAGATGTTGCTGATGGAAATCTTCCTTTATGTCCAAAATAATTGACTGAGCACTTTTGGTGTAATTTGTCAGAAAATTACACTGTGAAGGTTTCATAGCCCAGAATGGTATGAACACGTTAGATATGGTTCAGAAGGACCTACTTCTGGTATGTCTGACTTACCTCCAAAATTATTTGTACCGGAATTCGAGTTTTCCATTGCAAGGTCAAGGAGTTTCTCAGTGTTATCATTATCTGTAAGGACACATTGACAAATGTGGGTTAATTAATTGATCAGTGGAAAATAAAGCAAAGAAATACATACATTTCCATCCAAATCTTCACTCATTTTGCATACATCTAGGCTCTCGAGTGAATACACTGGTCTGGTGGGTACTGAATCATTGGTTCAGGACATCCTCTTAGTCTGACCAGTTTTTTCATGCGAAGAAATTGCTCATATCTCACCTGTTAACCTCTCATATCAAGTATTTTGATCCGCCTACCTGTTCAATATATCAAATGCTAGTTCAAGTCTCCCCTTCTATTCACTCACTCAATAAGTGTTTAGATATATCTATTATTTCTGATGAATCTTATTACGAATCTCTATTATTTCGCTTTCCATTCGTCTCTATTTATCCTGAACCATTCATTTATTTAATAGTGTTGTGCTACTAACTTTTCAATGTAACTCACAAACTTAGATATATATGCACATCAAAGTGTTACTTAATCCCATCGAGATAGAATACAGATGCATATAATACTGTGTGTCAAAAAATCTATACTGGGGCAATTTGCTGCTGCAATATATTCTAGTTCCTGGTGTGCCGTTCTGATTTAGAACATCCTAGTGCTGTTTTAGTAAACGGAAATGAAAACATCTACAGGGATACTGCATGTGGCCGAGTTCATCAGCTCTACACGAGGCAGCAACCCATAGCTTACTTGTGGGTATGTTGGACAAGGAGATATCCAGCAATGATGAAATGCTTGGCGGTGATATGGAATGGTGTATGATGTTGGCTGCCGCCGTTGTGGATGCTATGGAGCCCGACTCCCGGGTTGTCGTACTTGTTGTGAACACTGGTGTGGATGCCATGGATACCACCCCACCCATAGCACTCACCAAATTGTTCTGGAAAAGGAAATAACAAAGAAATATTTAAGAAATTAACTCGACCAGTTTTTAATTGCTCTAAACAGTAAATGTTTAGCCATATAAAAGGTATTTTTCTTTCTTGGAAAAGATTACTTTGTCCAAACCAATTAATTCTACTGTTTTCAAAGTAATAAAATGAAAATCCATTTCAACTGTATTATTGTCCTTGTTAAACTTGAAAATCTTTTGATCATTACGAGTTTTCATCTGTAGATATTGTGTATTAAAACTCTTTCACCAGTAAATAGAAAGTTACCCAAAATACTGTATAGGTGGTTATAAACTGGGGGACATTAGAAATAGAGCTGTACTGTGTTCAGTCATTTATGTACGGATCTTTAGATACAGGTAGCACACATGTATAAAAGATAGCTGTGGCCAGTCCAATTTACAAATGTATGGATCTTTATATCTATGTAGTATACCTGTAAGGACACTGGTGATCCTGGCAGAATGGTAGCAGCAGCAGAGAGACCAGTCGGTAATGAGAGGGAGCTCCGCCCTCCAGTGGCTACAGCAACAGGTTATTATCACATCATCATGCACAAACTATTCATCCTTGATACAATCAACTCTTTTTTAAAAACATAGAACAAAATTTCAAAATAACTTAAACCAGTTTGTGTTTACTAGGTTTGAAGCTTCATCACTTGTTATGTTCAGTTAAATATGTTGATATTATTTCTGTAACATTTGGTGGTATTCTGTTTTAGATGTTAGTGCCGTTAACACCTACCTGTAGCATTTTGTAGAATACGGTTACTGATTTGGGTATTGGGTATATTAACTGGCGGTACCCCAGATGGTTGTATGCTGACTGGTATGCCCACTGGCTGTCCTATGATTGTTGTTGGGCTCTGAACCGCAGTCACAGTAGAACTGGTTGGCATGGGGACAAAGGTAAGCATCTGCCTTGGTGCGGTTTTAGGCAGAAGGGTTCTCTGGACCACCATGGGCTTCCTGTTGACAGGCCGTACTCGTCGTCCCTTGTGAGTGTTCTATAAATCAAATTTGAGAGAGATCTTTAAACAGGTCAACACATGAATCTTCAGGAATAGAAATAATAAGAATTGTCCATAGATACATGATGGGTAAAGGGAAACTTGAACAGCCCTCATACAATGATGGTGAGCTAAATATTACACTGCAAAGTTTCACATACAGACTGTATGAGTAGACTTTTCTGATAATAGCTACATTTGCCTTAGTTCAAAACTATTATTACAGATGATAAATAGCAAGTTCATGAAACAGTAATTTACAAATAACATCCGTCTACCAACAATAAATTTCTACCCACAGATCTTTCTGGAAGAAAGAGACATATTTGCCAGGTGTGGTTTTGTATTTCCTTTGCAGGCTTTACATGCTCAAAATATCTTACAGGGCAGATGAGTATAAAAGATGGTTTATAGGGTTTGAACGGTTGGATCTTGATTGCAATCATGGGTACCATCTAATCATTGATTGTAAGTATTGATAATTTCAGACTCGAGATTAGTCTGCCGTGTCAACCACTAATAATCAGACATACCGTGTAGAGTTCCATCTGGTGTAGAGAAATTTGATTGACGCTCGTCTTTGTGTTTTTCTGTAGAAAGGACGGACCTGCGACTGGCACACGGAAAACAGCATCTTTGCTGCCTTGACTAGAATTCTGTTCAAACAAATTATCCATATTTCATTCACAATGCCGCAATATTATGCAATTTGAATGATTCATAATAATTTTATATTTACATCAAACCAAAAAAATATATTTTGATAAACATCATCAGCAGTGTTCTCCCCAGGCTGTTTTAGCGTAACGGTACTGTTGCGCATGAATTTTGAGCCGCTACGCATCACCATTTGACCGTTACGCATGCATTTGACTGTTACTCATTGAGAGGTACTCGTACATCAAGTTCTCACAAATTTATAACCTCTTCTCCCCTTTCCAATTAGACACACCCTCATTAGACTAGCTTTTTATTGACACCCTGATCAACGAACTGCAGGTAGATTTACCTGTGGGGATGTGAACTACCTGTAGGTGTGAGACCTGAACAATAGACCACAATTACCAGCGTGGAATTGGATCATAATTAATGATATCTGTTAATTATCAAGGCTTCAATCTACGTTTCAATTTTCATAGGTGACCGACACCAAAATAAGAAATACAACAGAAGTACAGACAGTAGCTTTGTATTCAGTAAAATGCCAAACACCTGCTGACCTACCTTTGTTGCATTGTTTTTGGCCATCAAATTTCAACGCTTGAAATAATTTTGGCTATATGAGAAGCTTTTATCAACAGTAAACTAGATCGTGAGTGAGCAGACTGCACACGGGGGGGCGGCCATGTTATTTTGATCTTACGTAATCCATGATGCAATGGCTGTTGAAATATGGATGAGGAGCGTTAATCATTTTGGCGCCAAAATTGTATTTCCCATTTTTACAGTAACAATAACATATTATTTTTTTACTGGATAATTACAATAATTCAATTTGATAACTTTATCACTATTTAAGTTTATATTGAGAACAGCAGTTAGATTTTTTGTTAACTTAATGATAACAGGTGGCTAGGCTTGGTTATAATAAATTACACAACTAAGGGATTTTTTTTGAAAATTAAATAATAAAAATAAATCATTAATTTCAAAATTAGCTTATAATTTGTCAAAATAAATACCTTTGGTTGGAATGTTATATAATTATTTATTCTCAGACATATATATATATTCATTTATTTCTATGATTATGTAATTGGAAAAAAACGCTGAAGTATTTGCTAAAATTATCCATTTTCTTGAGTCAGACTATTTTATTTGTAGTTATTAAATAAAACTGATAAAGAAAAAGAAAAAGTCAACAAAAAGCCAAGAAAATTAGCAATAATAATGTAATGTCAAGATTATTAAGTAATGCTATTTATTTAAAATTAACTTCATCATTACTCTTGTTTTGAGTTTTCTTTCTCAAAGTTCGCGTACAATATACGAAGATTGGTTGTGATGTGGAAATGGTTGGAAGCGCCGCGCTGTGATGGAAGGGTTAAAAATAGATGCCATAGCGCATCAAAGAATTTCTTGGGAGAACACTGATCAGTAGTACAGTATAAGGTTTTATATCAAATATCCAAAATTATTTTCTGAGTGAAAAGCATGAAGATCCCAGGGATATTCTTGTCTGCTTCTCGAAGCCAACATGTGGTCCCATTTTTTAAAGAAAAACCCTAAAAAATAAGAGGCTATAAAATAGTCTTCATTTCTGACATAAACAAAAAAATGAACTCCCGGAAGGTGGAATAATATGGAATTTCTAAGATTTCAAATAGAAAGCCAAGCTTACTTCATTTTGTTTATTTTGGAGTGTGGTTGTTGTCTGGGTACCAACGTCCACTAATCCTTCGCCACCGATCTTGGACAGGAGGGGGTACTTTCCCAGGGGTTTCTGGCCCTTACTTCCCGCAGCATTACGACCCCCTGAACCCTTTGCTTTACTGGCCCCACAGGTCTGGCATGGAGAACTGGAATTGCTGGATGTCTGAAATAAACATGGCTTAAAATGTACTCCTCCAATGAATTTAGATATAAATTAAATTAAATAGGATCTGGCACAATAACAACAATATTAAAGCCCTCTCCTCAATAATAATTAAGCAAATTATAAGTCTTACTATTTTTAAAGAAACAAGGTGAAAGGTTTGCATACACAAGATACTCATCATCACTGAAGAATTTGGAAAGATAATCTTTCATTCTTTCAACCATCCATCACCAACACATAATATCATCTAAATATCTAATCCTGCAGTGCACATTGCAATAAAATCTATTCTACAAAAGTATGCTTGTAACAATTTTGCGCTGTCGGTAGCCGAAGAAGCCATTGGCTACTTTTATTTTATATTGGCTACTAAAAATAAGATATGGCTACTAAATTGACAACTGAGTTATTAAAAATGGAGAAAATCTGTATCTTTGCCCCAGAAAACGATCTGTCTACTCGCGTGTGTATTGTGGCCGACACTGATTGCGTTTACATAATCAGGGCCAAATAAAAGCAAGCTAACAAATGCTTTTGTCTAAGTTGTAAAGTCAATTATCAAGCTTCAGATTTGTAACGGTTGGAGGGCGAGAAAGTCAAATATTCGGCCAGTTTAAAAAAAAAAAGCTACTGAAATTTACTCATTGCTACTTTTTTGGCTACTGATTTTTTAGGTCCAGGGTGAGCCCTGACGAGAAAGTACTCAATTGTTATTTTTCTAGCAAAAAAATAGACAATCAACAACAACTCCTTTTGAAGAATTACAAGTTGAAACAGTTTCTAGACTCATATAAGGAAATTTCAACATTTAATTTTAATTTCATTTCGGTGAGAGGATTGTTTTTAAAGTGTATAACCTGGTAACGTTAATGACAGGGTGGGTGCCCTGTGAGATACAGCAAAAGTACAAGCTACCTTAGAGAAGTCTGTGAATTCAGTAGTGGCTAGGTGTACCAGTCTCCTCAGCATGTTGGTCAGTTTGGAGGCCAACTGGTCATCAGGTGTAGTGACCCATTCGTACTCCAGACGTAGCTTCCCGTCCTTTCCAAACATGAGATACAACTCGGCCACTGTCAAACTGTCAGCCATATTCGTGTTCCAACCCTTCTCTAAAATCTCCTTCATTCTTTTGGTTTCTATTATATATTCCTTTTCATCACTAGATTTTTCACTGTCCCCACTATCGATAACAACTGGATTCACCTCTCCGTTACTTCCACCCTCTACTACTTTCTCTGCGGCATTGTCCTCAGCTGATCCCACTGACGTGTCCCTCGTATCACAGACATTCTCCTTAGCATCACTTCCAGCAGCAGTCTCTGACACTTTATTTGCAGCTGCACTTGACATCATATTATCCGGAAACATAGCATTTTCATCATTCACCATGGCACTGACATCAAACGAGCTATAGGCTGCCTGATCCGGTAAGTCCTTTGCCTGTCCTTTACTGGACCGGGGAGAGTCAAATATCACAGACAAAGCATTCAGCTCTGACGAGTTCTCTGTATGGTTTTTAGCAAGGTCTCCTTTCTTCCCTTTGGTTACTGAAGGTGAGCCTGTAAGATTACAAATAAACATTGTATGTGGATGCATCAAAGGATAAGAATTTGAAAATCTCAATAAAGCTCCTGATTTTTCTATCCATACATAGCAAAAAAATGACTGTAGTACCTCTTGAGTCTGGAGAAAAAGACTTCTGAAATATTGGTTAATTTTCCCTTTGAGGGCCCCGCCCTGGCCCAAGGGGTTGGGGTAGGAAACCCAATTTTACAATTTGAAACCATCTTCCTCCAAGGACGATTCTCACAAAGATAAAATAATTTCCTACATAAAATTGTCAAAATATACCTAAGTGTAATTGCCCTATATAAATATGGTAAACTTTACCCCCTCCCCAAGGGAGAAGGGATGGCCCGAGGATCCTGAAATTTACAATTTAAATAAAGCCCCTGATGATTTTTCCATCCATGCATAGAAAATGACTGTAGTACCTCCGAGTCAGGAGAGGAAGGTGGTGAAATATTGATTAATCTTCCCTTTGGGGCCCTGCCCTGGCCCCATGGGTTGGGATTGGAATGCCAATTTTACAATTTGAAACTATCTTCCTCCAAAGATAATTCTCGCCAAGTAAAAATAATTTCCTACAGAAGATTGTTAAAATATACCCAAAAGTGTTATTTCTCTATATAAACTATAGTAAACTTAACCCCCTCCCCAAGGGCGAAAGGATAGTTCGGGGGTCCTGAATTTCCAATTTAAACAAAGCCCCTGATGATCTTTCTTTCCATGCAGAGAAAATGACTGTAGTAACTCGGAGTCTGGAGAAGAAGATTTTTGAAATATTGGTTAGTTTTCCCTTTGGGGCCCCCGCCTGGCCCCAGGGGTTGGGGTAGGAATCCCAATTTTACAATTTGTAGCCTCATCTACCAAGGATGATTCTGACAAAGCTCGGATGACCTAAAAATTGACTAGTAAGAAAATGGTGTATTTTCATAAAATTAGCATTGATTTTGTGTCTGAATTTAGACAAAATGTTTTCTGTAGATGGGTCATGCATGTGATTGGTAAATTTATGAATGATAAGGAGGAAATTATCTCAAGTAGTATTTTCATTTTGTATTTACAATAATGCAAAACTTAAATTTTACATTATAGTGCATAATGTCAACCATTACACACAAAAATTCAGACTTTTATAAACAGTGTTGTAGAATAGCTTTCACTTGAATCTGCAGACCACAATGAATTTGGCCTCGTTAAGAACACATACTAAGCAGGTTTTCCTTGTAGTTGTTGAAGGCGAGCGGTATCCTACGCTCCTTTGTGGCCTTCAGGGACACAGGCACCACATCACATTCCTGGTGGGGAAACAAAGTCAGGTCCTGGTCTTGTGGACACACCCCATCTAGGTCCTCCCGCTAGGTAGAGGTCAAGGTCACTTCTTAAGTTCTATCTATATACGTTCTTAGCTTAAACTATCCCAAGGTAATTCAGATAACGGCATGCGTGCTTGGTGCCTTCGGCATGGCATTTCATTGAGATAGCACTATAAATTAAGTCGGCATCAGATCTGCTTTATCACAAGGAGGCAAGCACACCAACATACCCGGTCTCCTGCAGTGCATACACACATGCAAGCAGGCATACACTTCACACAAGGAGGCAGGTCCTTAAATGTCCTTAGCTGTTAATAGGACGTTAAACAAAATTAAACCAAACCAAACCCTCCGAACTATACCTTACATTGTAATTTTGAGTATTAAATTGATTATTGAACAGAAAAGACACTAGTCACTCAATATTTTTTACCTAAACAAACCCACATTTTTGTTGTCAGATTCTCATTTTAAATCCCTATACATGTGGTTATTTGAACATTACAACCGCACATTGATGTATCCCTTATCAAAAGTCTGTACAGCCAATCATCACCACTTATTTACGAAGGACTACACTGTTTAGCCTGTTCAGCATGTGCTCTTATTGATGTCAAAGGATACAAGTTTTATTGTATGTGGTTTCCACTTCTGACTGAGAAACTTGATGATGGAAGAGAGTTTCTTATCTGGTTTTAGCATCATACGTAGCCGTGGGTTTTGGGACATCTCCTGAACATAGGCCCAGGCTGCGTTGGTTCTGGGGTTGATGTCCAGGTAAATTCTGTCTGGTACCTGAACACCGGCCTCTTCCTCAGGTTTGGGATCTAGAGAGTAAGTAAAAATGAACCAATGCTGGACCAAGACACTTAAATGGTACAGAAAGACACTGTCACTGTGCTCATTTTAACAAAATGATGCTTTAGAAATCAACACTGCTTTACTGTACTTTCAGAAACATCTGCTGAATCAAGCTCATTTTAAAGCTGTTTTCTTGCAATTTAAAGTATTTTGTTACTTTCCAAATATGAAAATATATGCAAATCTATTGTAAATATTTTGAAGTATTTAATTTACAAATACCTACTGCAATGAAGCCCTATGTTTGTTTAAAACGTTATATTGCAATGTTTCATATATCACTAAACTTGAGTCACAGCCTAAAATATGTGTAGGTTCAAGTTACTCGAAAATATTCAACTGATATTTTTCCAAAATTGAATATTAAAAATGAGAGGCGATCCATTTACAATGCTCCTTTCAAACTGATGATAAGTTTGAGCTGAAACTGATCAGTTGTAAGACTTACCATCGATATTATTTATTTTCTTTAAAGCATTGCAGGTTGGTGTCTTGATCCTAAAACATATGAAAAACATGATTTTTTACAAATTGCTTTTTGCTTTTAAATCAAGGACAGGTTTCATCCTCTCAGTTTTATCCTTGTTTATCTGCTCTCTATAAACACCTTGTGTTTTTTTTTGTGACAATTAAAAAAAAGAATTATCATAGCCATATCTGAACTTGGTTTGAAGGTCCTGGGTTTAAGTCCCAGTCTGGCCCTTGCATCTTCCCAAATTTGTTCAGGTCCTCTTCAGTTTTTTTTTTTACAAGGATTCTATCAATATCAAAGTTTTACTTTATACAAAATCATGCTCAGTCACAGCTGGACAAAGAGACCGGTCAGTTTTGATAACACTACGACACATTTAGTACATACATTGTTCGGTAGAAAATAAAACTTTGATTATTACATATTTCCAAACAGATGAATCTTATTGAAGGACAAGGATTCAATTACATTTGAGGGAATGTTTCGACATGCATCAATGAGATTTTTGACTATCCTGCATTTATATAATTACCTGAAGTTCTTTCCTTTGATCTTTATAGTTGTGGACCTGTAAAATATTAGTGATATAAATGCTCAAGTACAATTATTTAAATGTCAGGTACACAACTGATAAAGAATGACACTCTATCGAACACCTTCCGACTAATAAAATACATGGGATGTAAAAAGAGATTGTGATATTTCAATAAAATCAATACCTCATTAATAACCTTTACCATGTTCTGCATTTTACCTTATAAAAGTAGTTTCTGTTATACCAGGTATCGGAGTTATGAAGCTACATTTGTTTAATGCTATAAGCTACAGTAGAACAAGTCTGCACCAATTACAAAATAACACTGCTGTTAACCAAGACGCACTGTACTTCAATGTTACACTGTAGCTAGGTAAATTAGGTGACAATTCAATCATGCTTTATATCAATAATAGTTTCAAAGCTTTATTGCTGCTACGACCGTAACTAAAAAGTTACACTGACTGAATAGATACCTCGAATCAAGGATTTTGTGACAAAACTTCTAACATTCTGAGGGTATCCTGCATGGAAATAAAGATGAAAAATCCATAATCGTAGCAGGAATTGAACTTCAACCATCTGTCAAACACCTATGATTTTACCCATTTTTTAAAAATTCACATGAAAAGATACATTCTGATATTATAATGTGTTCTATTAACAATTATTTATTAACTTGACAACATAATGAATTGCTTAAATCTTACCCAGTGTGAATAAGCTCATCCAACTTCAGACCATTCTTTTCATTTAAAGCTGAAAATTAAATTGATTCAGGATTTGAAGGATATTTCTGGATGTTCTATGCTTTTCATATTGTAATGACATATTGTTGTTGATCAATTTGAAATAGCTTCGATTTTCTTGTCCACCAAATGAAACCTGTTCAAATTGAAATGCTACTGGGACTAATCCTTCCACTCAGGTTTTTTTTGGATTACAATCGGGTCACTTTAGAAGATATGCTACATACAGTATACCTAGTAATTACAGGCAGTTCAGGTTAAACAAGAACATTGCATATATTCAATTCATCACCTTAATAGAGTAAATTACATATATAAGTAATTTGTTTATGTAATCAGGTGTGGGATAGATACCATCAGAAGACTCGGGTGATGCCATGTAAAAAATCCAGAACATTTCCTCATAATTTAGACACTTTTATTGAAATATTAATAGAACAAAGAAATCTGGAGAGGCTGATGGGAATTTCATTAATATCATTCTGTCCCTGAAGTAGGACTCTACCATTATACACAAGTTGCTGAAATGATCATGCAAGGCAAATTTATCCTACATGGATTTCCTTCATCAGATAAATTGCTAGTTCAAGCACAAGTATAAGAGAATGCACGGTCTCTTTATTTAACACACCTGCTTTGTGCTTCTTCCACAATACACCATAGTTGATCAGGCCATACAACTCTTGGGTTTCCTTTTTGGTTTCTGGAATTAAAATACATTTATTCATTTTTTTCATAAAGAATCATAAATATCATCTTTCTCAACTTCAATTAAAATTCATTGTAGTGTGAACCCATTTTATACGCGACGTAGACTCTGAAGTCAAATATCATGAAACAGTATAATACTAATTATACTCCAAGTACAATATCATGAAACGGTATTATATTAATCAATATAACCTAACAAGCTGGAGATTCGGTTTCAGTAATGTGATGACCAGTATGTAATAGAGACATGTAACTTATTTTCTCCAGAGTTGGGCAACCATTAACATTCCAGTTCCCTCACCAATGTGTTTCCATATCACAGCCTTATGCGACTACTTACCTTTGTCGATGTCGACAAACTTGGATATTTTGTGCCAGGTTCTGTAATAGAAGTGGCGCACCTGGTCTTTGTTTTTGATAAGTTGTGGCGCCACTCCTTTTTTCTTGCATTTCTGAGCAATCACATTTTGAATTGCATCAAAATCTTTGCCATGCTGTAAAAAATAAAATATGTAAGTGATTAGGAATGAATCCCAAATATTCATTTGATAAATACATAAATTGATGTAGACAATGAATGAAGTCAATAGTTAAAACAATCACTCAATAAAAAGTAGTGGCACACCAAAGCCAATAAAATTTAATCTGAAGAATTATTTACTGTAAAACAGCTTTTGTAGATATCATTATGTCACGGTTTACAAAACTGATTTTAATTAGGATAATGTCAAGATAGATTGGTTTTTAATTTATCAGGTAACAAATACAGTTTTCTTCCTTATTTTAACAGCCATGATTTCCCTTGGCCTGGTTGGTTCTATCAATTGAGAGGAAATAGTTTTGACTGTTGACTGATATAACAGCTGGAGACAACCAGAAAGGGACGATGATTTAATTTTCCTTTTAATCAAAAGTAGATCTCGACTATTATTGTTGATCTTAATTCCAACTAATTATTTGTATTGGGATGATAATAAGTAGTTTTTGCACTAACAATATCCCAATATCAAACTGAAGCCTAAAATTAAAAGAATTTTCAATATTAAATGGTTATAACCAAGATTTTTTATAGGAAATCAATCAGAATCATGAAGTTCTCCAGGGGTGTAATTAGCCACTGGTCCACTGGCCTGTCGCCAGTGGTTTTCTGTGCAGACCTGTAGGTTTTTCAACGAGCTATCCCGCAGGGCAAGTAGATATTTTTTTAATTAATCTAAAATTTAAGCCCAGAATGTACCACAAATTTTCTAGATTTCTAAATTTCTGGTGGGGTATCAGAATTGTTTCCAGTATCTTTGGCGATCGTCCAGGCCTGTTGCCCTCATTATTTGCTCGCCCTTTAGAAGTAACCATTTTTTTTTAATTCCACTGGATCTTGTTCAGCATTATTTCTGTATATTTATACATTAACATTACATGGAAATTAAATGAAGTTCTAACCTCATACAGTCCTTCAAAGAAGGTAGCCTTGTCCTCTGTACTCCATAGCTCCCACTGGCGTTTTGTCTTTGTTTCCGGGGTACTGCTTTTGATCTCCTTCACTGTTTAATAAATGCATACTAATTAAGGACATGATCATATGTGTGTTTTCCCATTTGATAGCATTATTAATATATCTTAGCCACTTACAATACCTATCATTGTATTACTGTTGTTATTTCTTACTTAATTAAAACCTACATGTTATTATGAATTCTTTTATTGGACTTTCTGGTCGGTTCAAGTAAAACAAATAAATAAGTAATTAATATTATTGTAACGAAAGTCATTTTATTTCTACTATTGTGAAATGTAAGCTTATAGTAGTGGGATGGCTCTGTGGAAAGCATACTTGTCAGCTTTCACACAGACAGGGTTTGATTCCCCGATGAGACACGACAGATTACTTATGGAGAACCCATTACTTCCTACCTACCAGACATCAATCAATTTGTCTGTCTTGACCCAGAAGGTTATCACCCTTAACAACGATAATAATTCAACAAAAATCATTCCAACTGGCTAGATATTTTCCAAATTGAGATAACAAAATATCTAAAGTGCTTTAAAAAAGATTTTCAACCATCTGGTTTATTACCTTACACACTGTTTCCCTATGTTTTCCAATCTTTATTTGCATTTAGTTAATATAAAAAAAACTTATTTGAATAAAATTAACACATGGGCAAAACAATATAAAAGTATCTGCTGTTTTTTTCAACTTCAAACCTAATATTTGTGTTTGCAAAATATAGATATTGAACAAGTTTTATTAGAATCTGGTCATATTGAATTTAAATTATTTTGCAGAAACTGATAATCAATCAGATTTGGTAGGTTTATTTTGTGGTTTTTTTTCTTCACATTTTGGAAAATGGAACCCCTGGTCATTCCAATCCCTATCAAAGGTGCATAAAATGTAAGGAATCTTGATTTCTAACATTTCTCCCCCTACATTTTAACATTGAAAAATGAACACTAAAATATATTTCGAAGTTTTGATTTTTTTTGTGTATATCAAATGGACCAGACTTTAATTTATGCAAAAGGTCATCCCTGGCTAAAAGGTTTCTTAAGAACAAAACAGTAAATATTCTGATTTCATTAAAATGTAACTAAAGTTTCATATATATTTTCTTATCATTTTAATATATATACAGTGATATTAAATGTTATGAATATGAAATTGAACATTTACCAATTAAAATTAAAAAAACGCTGAATCTGTAAATTGCTGTCTTATGATAAGTATAATATCTAATGTGCTATAATCAAAATTGAATATTTTTATCTGTGTCTTTTATTTAAATAAATGATAATATTTACATGTTTATTAATTATTACTAAAAAAAAAAAAGTTTCAATATTGAAATCAAGACAATTATTAAGTCTGTTCATTCTATACTGGTATAGATACTGTTATTTTGTGTTTCTTTTTTTACAATGAAAAAAATAGTTTCACTATTACAATCTAGACAAATAATTAAAAATGTAAATTCTTTCTTTTCTATTACACTTATCAAACTGTTTATGCATATTTTGGTTCGTAGTGATAACCATGACACATATATAAATTGTTAATGAACCAACACAGAAGCTGTGTTGTACCTGATCACTTATCACAATATCGGTGTATTGATTTGTAGGACCAGTGATCATGACAAGTTCCCATGGTTACTTAAAATAGGTGTTTTATCTTATATTTCGTACCCGTTTTTTTCGCAGGAGATTCAGGTGGACTTAGGTCTCTTCTTGGTTTTTTAACGATTCTCGATCTTGTTGAATTTGATCGCGTTACAGCCCCACTCCGTTTCGGTACTTTCCCATTCCGACCTTCACTTGGTCCTGCTGTATTTTCCGGTTTATTACCCGATCCTTCAACACATTGGTTACCTCCCTTTGTATTTTTATATTCGCTCACTGCATCTTTGGGGTCAATAGTCATCCTGAAAATATTAACAAGGAACTATTTAATTTTAATTCCGGTTGCAAAAAACGTTTCACATCCCAAATTTTGGTGTGGAGATACGGAAAGAATATTCAAAATGGCTGCCGTCTTTGATGTAACAACGGCCATCAAACGTAACAACTTACGACTATTGTAATAAAACTAGAAAGTCAAACGTGTCTAACAACATATAGTAGTTATATTCAAGCCATGTTTAAACTTTCACGATATAAAATATTATGACCTTACTCATCAAATATCCGAAAATTGGTTCAAGCTATGTGCAAGATCAGCCAGAGAAATCAAAATGGCGGTTCATTTTCTTACCGATTTTCTGTGCATTCTTTCGAATTTACGTCCCCCTGTGTACTTTTACGCCGTTTGCCAAGAGGCATAAGGACGAATATTCTTATCCACTCTTAAACCTTTGATTCATACCAAAGCTTGCATGTGAAATCCGCGTTCACAATTTACCAAACACGAACACAATACATCCAGCTGTTTGGGGGAGTGCGGCGACTTGAAACAATCATTTTTGGGAGGCCTACCAACCGCCCGATCTCAGTTGTCAAATGTTATTCAATACCGCAATTGATGTCCAATGATCTTCAACTATTTCATAGTATTCAGATGATAGTTGTAATCTCGCAAATTGCATGAAATATTGCTGTAAACGTTACGTCTGCAATCTAGAAGCTGATCGTTTGCCAATAACATAGTAATGGTCATGTGACATGTTTATCCAGTTAGAAATTATTGTATTTCTTTGGGACATAAAATTGCCAAAATCATTATTAGCTTTTCGATTGACATTCTGAGGTTGTAAAATGTAACCTTAAAATTTTAATAAAAAAGTGATTATCTATTTAATGATCGATCAACAAATATGTATCTCCATTACCTTATTTGTCATGCTAGAATTGCTATTTGTAGGAAGAATTATTCACAAGAAAATAATAAAATACAATGTTGTTTATAATCTAACAATTGTCCGGTAAACATTGAGATATCAATATCAATTTTCTGTTTTATTTCTGCATTTTTATTTTCCAATCATTATTATTGATACAAAACACTAATTTCTCGTTCTTAGCCGTGTGCCCGATGCAAAGTACGATTTAAAACAACACAAATTATCGCGACACTTTTATATTAACTAAACTATTTATTACCAATTGAGCAATGCCTGTTCTCTTGTATCTTAATTTTTGTAACGAATAAGTACACTAGCATGTATTCTTTTTGGGTATCTACTGTAAACAATCTATTTCGATGCCGGAATAACAACAGTGAAATCGACTCATTTCCTGAAGACACCGCCTTTGGATCAAAGTCGATATTTTGAATTTAAATGACTTACAAACATCCATTACTTGTTTGACTGAAATTTCAATAATATGTTTACCTGCTAATGCCATAAAATTTCACTCGATAAGTACCCAAATGATGCATTCACATAAAATTAAACAGTAAACAATTACCTCGTGTCAATGTTATGGCAAGAAGTCTTGGCGGGAAGTTAAATATGGGAACCCCTTCATTTGATTGGTCGAACAATCAGATGAATGGGGAACTCCTTTTGTCGCAATATTCTTCTAAATGATAATGATATTTAAACACAACATGTGTTTATTTCCTCATTTCAATTTTTAAACATGTATATGACTTTCTGCCTTAAAAGTTGTTCATAAAGTAGAAAAGACTCGACAACCTGTCGTTAGAGGTCAAGGGTTAATGTTTTTCTTACGTGAACCCCGATTGGTTGGTTATTTTCCGTAAATAAATTATCAAAATTCCTTGTTATTTTTAGAATAAAATTATGATGAACAAATGTATTTATTTAAAATTATCGATATTATTGGTTTCTTTTCTTTTGAAACCATAGACGGGATGAAAAATCGATAAACATGTCTGGTGACCTCGGGTCATTCCTACGGTGATATCTCGTGATGACATCATCGTGTGCGTGAAATTCGAAAGGCGCAGGACCATTGCCACTTTGAAGAAAATCAACTACCGGTACAGAAGTTACTCACTCAAAAACATGTCAACAAATACATTCCAAGGTCGCGATAATGAAAGGAATTCTTCCAGGTTTGTTCAGGCTTTTTGGGATGATTTTTTCAGTATTTATATAGAAACAGTATCTATTTTATCGGGGTGTTCCGATAGCATGTACCAGCACGACCCAGATTATGATTAGTCGGTGTTGTCGGTGCACCGAGTATTTTGTCCGTTTTTCTAAGTCTTCACAAACTTTATTGGATAAAATTTGTTAACCTGATATATTACTTTGGCACAAGTTCTAGTAAACAAGTGGGAAATATGCTGTGCTCTGTTAGACTTCGAAAATTGCTACCGTCTCGCCGATGTGTATGCATTTTAGGTAGAAATGGTTGGAGTTAGGTCCCCTTGGCAGCTTTCAGTCCTTTCAGGTGAAATGACTAGAATATCTGAGTAAATTAGATAATTTTACATTGGATTTGTTTATTATGCTTTTAATATTTGCATGAAAATTAATCAAAAATCTCCATTTAAGTTAATTTTGATACTACGTAATGATAGGGTAGTCAAATCGTTCTCAACCAATTTCAATAGGGTCTCTTTGAAATATTTGCTCACTGGGTTTGGTGAGCACTTAAATAAATGTTTTGACAGTTATGGTGACAGTACCAAAAATGTATCCCAAAACCATCATTTTATTCATTCTGACATTAAAAATCCTTCTTCCTTTATGAGCAACAGAACTCAAAAGATTGAGTGCATTTGTTGCTGTGTAAGTTCTGAACTTGAAAGGTGGTAGATGAAAAGATGAAAAAGTTTAGATCTTTTTTAAAAATTTAGATTTAAAGATAAAACTATTTACATTATTAATAATTTATTTTGCAATTTCTCAAGAACCATGTTACAGATATTTCTCAAACTTCATAAGAACGTTCCCCTTGGTTAATATAGTTGTGCTTTTGCATTTTGAGACTGATTGGATAACAAGATGGTCGCCAAAGAAGCCAAAAACTAAATTGACAGATTTATTTATTTTCAATTTGATGTATGATTTTCTACATGCTGTATAATTTTCGGAAGACTTGTTGAATCATCGAAAAACAGTCAAATACCAATGGATTGTCAAACAGTGTGCTGTCCTCAGGATGACACGCTAAATCCCTATTGGGTTGCACCAAACACACAGCATGTATTCCAATCAGTGTCAGTACATTGCTTCAATGATAGGAAACAAACCGACTTTTATGATAGTTCATACCGTTATATTAGTTGTCAAGCTGGCCAATCTAACGTAAGGAAATCTTAATGAAGCCAGCCATTTTCTCTCACTTTTGTGACCGTAATACTGATTGGCCAGTCAAGTTGCCGATTGGTTTTCTAAATTTCAATTAATTTGAGTATGCACACAAGATGATACTGTAGGGAGAATTTGAAAAAGCACAATATTTGTATTACAAAACAAGGGTTGACACTAACACTAGTCTGCTTGTCATGGACTAGTAGATTTCAGCAAGGACTAGTGAATCACCTAAACCTAACTGGTCCTTTGGACTTGTGAAAAATATGATTATAAAATATGAATATTTCTTTTCAGAATTTCGAAAAAAGTTTAATATAAGATATATTGCATGATAATTGTCAAACTTTTCTTAAAACTTGACCATATTTTGATGGCAGTAATATTTTTAAGTCCCCTACAGTCGATTACTTTTGATGTTTCATGCTGTAGATCACAATGTTTCCTTATCAGGAAATCTTACATTGACGAAGGACTAGTAAATAATCTATTCAACTAGTCCTGTGGACTACCAAGCAAAACAAGTCAGTGTCTAACCCTGAAAAATGTGAATTTCCATTCTCGTCTTTGCTTGGAAGACATTTTTTATTACAACAATAAAAAATATATTTATGCATGCTCAGTTAAGTTAGAAGTGCACCAATAACTGCACCGCAAAAATGGATAGCCAATATCATCAAGGATTTAAATCTCCATTATAAATGTATAATATTGATTGAGAATGCCAGGAAAACATGGACTGTTGTCAGTTTTTCAACATGAATTGTTCATAAGGAGTAGCTAACTATATTTTCATAAAAGATTTTTTGACTAGAATATATATAAAAAAACATACCTCGCTAAATTGTGCCTTTATCAAATCTTTATCTGAGTGTTTTGTTATTTTAGGTAGTTTATCCCTGGACACCCATCTCAAAATGATCTTAGCATATCAGAAGACATTAAACCCCTTACAACCATGTTTTTAAGAATGTAGCCATGGAAACCAAATTGAATTGAGCCATACGATTTGTGAAATTTCAAATATTGTGCAGTGTTGCCCATTTTGTTATGTAGGTGTATTATGGCTCTGCAAACTCTAGCGTTATTTCTGTTATGGGTCTCGAGTGGCCACTGTTAGAAATTGAACATGAAATTCTTCCACTTTTATAATTAAAATAATTACAGTCTGACTCAGGCAGGTAGTAGGGCTCAGGATGACATAAGTCTGTTAGTGATCTAGTTAAATGCTTACATCTCGATACTGTATCATATTTCAGGGTATTGAAACCCCCTGGTGGTGGATCAAGTGATCTTTTCGGAACGGGGTCATCACAAACTGCTGCAGAGTCTGCAAACCAGTCAAAGTCCAAACAAACATCTTCCAACATATTTGGTGACCCCTATGATCCTGTTCGTGATGTGAGAAGGAGTGACGTAAAAGCAGCAACAGAACATGAACAAAAGAAACAAGACCTAGGACAATTTGAAACCCCAGCATATGTTAAAGCCGAGAAACCACAAGAAGATACCCAGTCCAAGTTGTTCGGTGATCATTCAAATCAGTCACGCCGTACTGGAAAAGGACAAGGTAATATATTGTTTAAAGTTTTTGTTTCCGCGTCTTATTGTATGTTTGATATCCTAATATGTTGTACATACAGTATGATGTATTTTTACTTGCATAAGGTTTTTAGTCTTCTAACTACCAATGAATTTCTGAAAATTAGCCTGTTTTTAAAAAAACTGATTTTGCATTATATGCAAAAGCTAATTTTGAAAATTTGAATTTATTTCCCTGTTGAAATCATTTTTGGTTTTACAAATGTTGTTTGCAAGCTGTATTGTACAATTTGTACAACTCATGAAAGTATTACTGAGATAACTTGTTCAAAATATCATTAAGGAATTATGATAACTTGGTTCCTAGTTTTGATCTTAGACCAACTGACTATATTAAGACCATATTATATTTAAGATTCCTAAAATACTGATAAATCAACTCTACTCACAGGACTTCCGTTTGCAGGAAAAAACATGTTTATTTGCAGTTGGATGATATGTACAATGTGTACTAACTACTATGATGATGTACTGTATAAACAAAGGTTATGGAGTCTTAATTACGCCATAATTGCATACAAAAATGCTTTTGCATCATCAAACATTACTTGCTTTACAGGACTCTAGTCATCATTTTCCAAGTCCATGCTCTGCTGTTAGAAATTGTAATCAAAATCTATTGTAAAATATTCATCTCATCAACATAAATGTCACTGTCTTCTCTATCTAACATTCAATCTGAACAATCAGGTAGTACATCACCAGTATTGATATTTAGAAACCTGCACTATACAATGTAGCTATCAACATACCAGTAATTTAAACATATATATATATATGTTTATAGTTTGTGTTGTTTTATCATCCACATTTATTCTTTTGTCACAAGTGTATTGCAATGGAATATCTGATAGGTTGGAATACTCTGAGATTACTTGTGTGCACTTGTCGATTGATCCAATTTAAGAATTGTTAATTAATTGCTTATGAATCTCTTCACATTTCCAAATTAAAAAAGTTACTTTGTGAAGGGTTGATTGATTTCTCTTTTCAATTTGTTTAAATTATTTAGCTTTAAAAGTCAGAAACTTCAAAGGAACATTTTATATGAAAAACCTAACGAACATATATTTTTTCCTGGTATCCCAGTCTGCACGAAAAACTTTTGAAGCCACAGGCCCTTTGAGCCTGAAAGGATTCAGAATACTTTGGCCCCAACTAATTTTCACTGGCCCAAATACATGTACAAAATAACGAAAGAAAACAAAAATAATAAAACAACTTGAATGGTTTGTAAATATGTTTAATTAAATAGGGTTTTTATCATGATGTCAGTTCCTGCAAAATGACGACATGAACGCCTCCACCTGGTTCAAAGACAGCTGTTTTTTAACGTCAATCTGAAAATTACCGGCTCCGACAGAAAATGAACTGATGTCCTCTTGCTCCCGGCAGCATTTGCAAAACATGATCTCTTTACTGTCATCATTTTTTATCCATGGCCGATTCGTTTTCCATGTTGTTTGAAATTATCTTGCCCTCTTGGCTACATAAACCTTCCACAGGTTGATTTCATTCAAGGGAGTCTCCGATTTGGGTTTCTCGCCAGGTTGTGCACCCTCCTGATATCCAAGGGGAAGCTCACCATGCTCTCCTGACACTTAGAAACCGAAAGCGGAAGAAGTGCGACATCTAGCAGTAAAAGCAAGAATTTTACTGTTAGACTTGCTCGCCTTAGTACGCAACACATTACCGCGATTAGGAAATCAAAATTGTCAATTTTTATGCTGATACAACCACCGGTTTATTTCGCATACTGGTATCCACTATGATCCAGGGTCTTTACATAAAACCAAACAAAAACATCTTAATTGTTTTTTGTTCATTCAGTTAAAGCAATGAAAAAAATTGTCGATTACTTTTTTGCCTGTTAGATACCAAATTCTTATCAACTTGATAAAGGTGATATCTCAACATAACAGATATATTTATCAAAAGTGATATTTGTTACAGTGTGAAAATCCCACTTTAGTTTTTTACCAATCAGAACAGTCCTCTTTATTCGCTTCATTCAAAATGGCAGATTTTCTGTTTAGATATTTCCCTCGTGCTCATGCATCAAATTTGTGAAAATATTTTAGCTATTGTCTGAAATATTTTCCCATGGTGCTTGGACCAACCAAAATGTTGTTCAATCCTCAATGGAAATATCAAATGTTGTCATTTATATCAGACCCCGTCCAAATTTATAATATCCCTGATGATTGATCCAATATTTTTACACAGCTTGGGAATTCTTACCATAGTTATAGCATCATTGTTTTCTCTTTCTTTCCTGAACATGCACTGTATTCAAGAGTAAGACAGTTTTTCTATAATATTTGGCAAATGAATTTTCCCCTCAAATCAATTGAATCAATGCTAAAAATACTGTACTTCATTGACAGAGGTCTCAGTCAGATGGGAGGGACCATTTCACATTTGCAAGATCAGAGTCAAGTCTTAATAAAAAAAAAAAACAACATTTCTGTTTCTGAAATTTCTTCATAGGAGTTGATTTCAATGATCTATAAAGGGTTTTCAATTTTTTTTCCTGTTATCTTGAGTATACTTTTCCTTGAATTTTAATTGAAGATTGAATCTGTGATTTTTTCGTTGGTCAATAAAAAATATTCATTATTCAAATTATTCTTTATCGATTATTCACTTCGACTTATTCATGAAGATCTTGTAATGGTGTTGTGTTTCACACCAATGTGTCTGAACGTTTAATATCAGAAATAGCTGAGAGTTGTAAACCTTTATAGTCCTTACTGAAGTCTCAATTTCACTGGGCTCATCCAACTGCACCATGTTGATACAGTCACAGTTGTCATTAACCCAGCCACTATCCTAACTACATCCTGTAAGGAGGAAAAGCTTGCCATCATTTTAGCTCATAGGTTCTGTTGCATCTTGGTATGTTGGGTGTTGTTTGCTTGCTTGTATTATGTGCTTTCTACACTTGCCTGACTTTCACCAAGAGCTCTTAGTATGACCAATAAATCTCAACCATTGTTTCATCAAAAAGACCAAACAGATTAAGAAAAATCATTAACAAATATTACGATTATGTCATGTTCTGCTGAAATGACAGTGTAAATTCAAATTGTGCTTAAAAAATATTACTTCCACATGTAGAAGTCTAAATTCTGATCTAAAATTATAATTTGTTCATTTGAATTTGTGTACCACTTAAGTTTATGAAACTACATTTGTATGATGGAAAATTAGGGGGAAACCAGCTAAAGATTTTCTGGTCAGACATTCTCTATATAATGCATGCATGGAACCCTGGTTCATTTTTTATCAGCTGTTTAACATAACATTTGTAACTGTAACTAGGTGAAGAGTTTCCAGTCTATGACCGCTCTGTATATGCAGCTCAGATGTTTCACCAGAAAACCAACGCTCAAAGAGGTACATGTGGACCACCAAACTTGTGACACCTGTTAGGGAGGCCCTTATATATCCTGTTTATTACATCGTACCTGAGAGTCACTGGTTTTAAATATTCATTACAAACAAATTTATACACATATCACGTCCAGCTGTTAAAACATTCATATACACTTTTGAGTTCCCCCACAAATTCTATCGCTTAAACATGGATTTTCATAATCTACTGGAACAAGTACTCGTATTAGTTTGTAAACAAATAAATTGGAAATGAACGAATGTGTTTGCTCTTGTTAGAACCTATATATGACATGGAAATGCCATTGTTTTGTAAAAAAAACCTAGGTATTATGAATTTGTTTTTACCACTTGATAAATTACCTATAAATATAACAGTGAGAGGAAACACTTATATATGATCCATCAGGACTTTAAGCACCATCAATATCACATATGGAACCAATAATCTAGATCAAGAGTTAGAAGACTCTTAACAAGACGTAATTATTATAATCTGTTAAATTGGGTATGTATCTTGATGGATGGACCCTTCAGATGGAGAAGCTGAGATCTGTTCTCTTGCAACATGTAGCCTGGCATATTCTGTAGAACAAAACTCCTGAAAGACAGACAATGATATTGGCCTTCCCTACCCACGCTTTACAATCGATCATGAGCTAGCTGTCGGAAAAACTACTGTGATCATATCAATGGCAGCAACTTGTCATCTATCATTGTAGCTCAGGAGTACACATGTATGTACTCTTATGTAGATGTGTAGAAATTGATGATAAATAACAATGATCCATGCTAATTGAGAACAGAAAAAGCTAAAATTATTAGATAATAAAACTCCTAGAAAGTACAGAAAACATGAGGATTGGGGGTGGGACATGATATCTGGTTGTAAACCTGTCAGTCATGTTATCAAAGAAAGCATAGCCTAGAGCTGTAACCGGGTGCTGTAAGAATTCTCTAGTTATTTGTTATAGTAGTAATTAATGAGACATCTGGATGAGAACATTTGGTATGTGTTTTGAGCCTGTAGGACCAGCAGTCTGACATCTGGACAGCATTTAATCTACATTCCATCTGTCACTGTTATACGATACACACACAACAGCATTAGGCCTCAAAGCATTCAATTAGCCTTTAAATATTCTATTTAATAATGAACATATACATTGTGACTAGCTATCGATAAGGTAGCAAATGTTCCATAGAATTTGGACATTTTTTTACTTCATATCGCTTGGAAAATGATTACCGATAGGTTTTACTGTTCACTGCACAATTAAATATTAGTAATATAATGAAAAAAAATAAAAAATAGAATCAAGGTATAAATTCCTCAAAAAGTCGATGAGTATAACACTGATACTAATAATCAAGCATGGAAACACAGTGTATTTTTATCAGGTATATGTAAACAGCCTAGCTAGGAAACACATGTAGGGACCTGAATTAGAATCTTAACAGAATAAAACAAAAATATGACACATGCCAATGTGATTACTTAGTAAAATCTATATATATGTAAGGATCTCCTTGCTGTGTCAAACAGAACAAGAGGTTACACATTTGATGGAAATATTATTCAAAAGAGGTAAATACAAATGCTATGGTTAGATATTAATGGTAGCTAGCTACATAGGTGTTAGGTATGAAATTGTTTTATAGATAAGCCACATAGAAAATAAAGGTACATGATTTATTACAATAAAGTAAAAATATATTTAAATTAAGTGAGTCGTACAGTAAATATGTAGTTTTAAAAAAAGTGATAAATTTGTAAATTTTCTGGGTTAGTCAGGAATGTTTTTCAAGGGTCCAGGGTAAGGTTTAAATGAAATGACACTAGCTTAAGTAATACAGTGTATACATGCTAGACATTCATTTCAATAACATTGTATCGGATAGATTTTGTAATAAAAGTACCTGGGGTCAGGATTTGTAACATTCTATTGCGCTGTTTTACACAATGTTTGACAGTACCCTTACACACCACACTGGACCGTGACCAACATGTTCGGACACAAAACAACTATGTCATGGTAAAGAAAAGCAAACTTGTTCAAAATTAGGTTAGGCCTCGAAACGCTAATGCTAAACAATTCATGTCATTAGACAATCCCTTCATGCCGACACTGGTCTACAGACAAGATTATAAAACACTACCCAGCCGTGACCCAGGACACAAACACTAAGGACAAAGCTGGCAGGATTATCTCATGAATATAAACACGAGTAAACAGAAAATAATTAGCGTGATTGTGGTATTTTAATTGTTGCATGTCTCGGAACATTGTGCTGCTACAACCAATGCGCCAATCATCACCATAGTTGTTGCATGATATCATTTTATCATGTTAGTTGTTACTGCAAATAGAATTTAAAGAGTCATCCATTATCACCAACTCAAATAGCTTCCACCTTGTGATTGCTTTTAATACTTAGGTCAAAGTTTACACCAGAAAAATTGAGACTTAGTTTAGTGTCAGCTCTTCAGTCAGATTTATCATGTCTAACACAATGTAACCTTGGTGGGGGTCACAGCACTATTCAGTTCTAACTAATACGAAAAGGTCTAAGTCTGCCTTCTTTAACGATAATTTTGCACCAATGAGATTTTGGTATTGGAGATTACTTATATTTTATAAATACAGTACATGTAATTTCAGGAGCAGAGTTTTCTTTATTTGTTCATGAGAAGATAAATATTTCCTTGTATTCTGGTATTACAATGTACTAATAAATATGCAAGACCGCACACTTGTTTTTCTAACGAATCAGAAAGCGCGGACGAATATATATGTCCGCGCAATAAATGAGTGCTTTCTGATTCGTTAGAAAAACACAAGTGTGTGGTCTTGCTTTTATCACATACCTTACGTTTTTGGTAGCGATTGATACAAAGATTTTATAAACTTTGATATTTTTTGCAAATACCTGGAACATTTCAGTTTGCCATGACAAGGGGATTCCCATAAAAAGTAGCTCCGGCTAGTAGGTAAATACAACATTCCGTATTGCACAGAACGTTGTATTTCATGGTCTGAAAATTGCTTGTATTACTATAACAAGATTCAACAGGTATGTGATAAAAATTTGTTCTCTTAAGACTTGAATAAAATCTCATGCAAAATTATGTTGAAATCGACACTTGGGAAATTTATATTTTCACATTCTCAATCATGAACAAACGACTATCTTTAAATCATTCATTTCTGTCCTCTCGCACCTTTCAAAAATATGTCTTCATATATTGTTTCGTAAACTGAATTTCTAGAATATTACAGCTATTTATATTTGCTCAAAACAATAGGTATTCTTGTTATTAAACTTGGTGATTACAATTGTTTAATTATTACAATAAAACAGATTTGGAAGGTTGTGAAGAAGGTAGAGCACCAAACACTTGCTGTCTCCCCTCAGTAAATTTTCCAACACATGCCTTGGAAAATCAGGCTCCCCATGCATTTACTGTGATGAATTGCTCAACAACCGGATACTTGACTGTTAATATGTCTGTTCACAAACACAAACAATGATTATCACAAATAATAATTTTTTGTTTACATCATGCCAGAATGACACTTTCCCACAACCCTATCACATAAAATGACCATTATAGAACTGTACATAATACTTTTGTTCTAAATTTTCCTAACCATACCTCATGCAAATGATGTAAGAATTCCATGAGTCAGAATTGATTGAAACTGCACTTGGGAATTCAGATTGATGTATGTAATTTGTTTCACTAAATCAGTGTAATTATAATGTAATTTCCTGTTCAGATTTAAAACTGCAGTAGTATATATTGATCCCATATTAAAACAAAAAGAAAACTTCTTAGGTTGCAATTAGCATTTTTGCTGTTCTTTTTAATGAACTTTTATAAGCATTTTAGCTTATTTTAGCTTGTGCAGATTAACATAATTTTTCAGAACACAGGAAATCTGTCATTCTAAGACTGTTGCATATTTGAAATGTTGCATGGGACGAGACTGATCAAATAAGATATATTTTTCATGCATGCTGTGTTAGTTTTAGAGAACTGACCTGGTTTCTCCCCTAATTTTTGTTTGTCCCTAAAGACAGACCATTGTATGGATTTTCACTATAAATTCAGCCTCCTCCTATAACCCCATCACGGGGGAGACATATACTGGTTCGGAAGAAGTAGACGAACAGCCTGCCCACGGTAAAAGGAAAGGAGGACAAAACCTAGGTATTGTCTAGCTGTCTCAGCAAACAGAGACAACTTTTAACTTTAGTGTCTGTTGACTGCTTTCTTTGCTGTTTTAATTCATTTAGTTTTTCTTTGTGAGTTTAATGTTGTGGCTTTTCATTTCACCAACAGTAATAGATTGATCAGCACCGTACAGTGTTAGCTTTGTTTTTCTGAAAATCTATAAATAATGTTTGAAAACATTTTGTCCATCAGAGTGGAAATACACTATACAGACTTGTTTTTATTACCAAACTACTTCATACTTCTTGTGCTTCAAAACAGAAGTTGTAGTCATTCAAATTGGGGAAATGTGTAAGTGCAAACATATACAGGAAAACTCTCCAACACACTGTACGCTGCTGTTGTAGTTTGTCTTGCTAGACCTTCGTTTCTATGATTTGACACTCTCTATCTCCACTATAAGGGAATCTGTTTGTTAGATTGAAAAATAGCTTTCTGTGGTGGACACAACATGGGCAATGCCTCAACCTAACAAATGCAAACTCAACAAACCTGATTAAAAAAAAAAAATCCAGGTCATTTGGCCATGAGCAGTGGCCATAGCAGACGTAACAAGTGTATGTTTCTATTCCTGGGTTTCCATGCAGATATCTACTGCAGTGGTGGATCCAGAGGTCAATGTTGTGATGAATATTTCATGTGATCTGCAAAATATACCCTGTTTCACTGTGTTTGTGTGTGTGTGTGTGTGTTTGTACCATTAATACTGGTGCCAATTGTCACAGCATCTAAGCAAAATTAGTATCAAAGACTGTCTTGATGATATGGCCCAGAAGTTTGCAATCTCCCTACAGCAGCAGAGATATATACCTCCTTAGAAGCTCAATATTAGAATGTTTGGCTAGGTTATTGATAAGAACAGTCAGAAATACTTCATGAAGATAAGGCACAATGATGGATCTTTCAAAGGATTAATTGAAGATTTGTTGAGCTTTCATCAGAGAATTACTACTTCACTTAACCCTGTATAGATTTTTATGAAGATTTTAGTGAGTATTCATGTAGATGTTTTCTTGAACCAAAGATAAGAGTTTCACTGCTGTGCTACTCCAGACAGGCCTCTGTGTAGTTATAGTCTAGGATTAGGGGCTGTGGTGGTAACAACTACATCAATATACATGTCATGTTACAGTCATGTCTATACAGTAAACAGCATCCCAGCAGCAGCTTGTCTAGTGTATCGGTGGTAGTTACTGCTACCCTAGTTATGGGTAAAAATCACGGCTTGACCACAGGGTAACACAACTACTATTAATATTGATCTTGTCAGACTTTCAGTCGCTGGGTACGTTATAACAATATGGGATATAAAGTACCTAGCGACTGAAATTCTAACAGGATCAATATTAATAGTAGTTTTAATTTCGTGCCCCTGTGGCTTGACCCAATGTTATAAGTGTATATATTAGGGACCCAATCACGCTTGAATTATTGATAGGGATAAATGAAGGATATTTTTGCAGTCATTTATGAGTACTCTTTTACCTTTTAGCCAATCTCAACCATTCAAACTTTCAGATTGAACAATTTGGCATGTTCCAAAAACTTGTCATAACAATTACATAAAATCAGGCTAACTGTGCTTACATTTTTGGCTCTTTTTGTAAACTTAGTTTTCTTTCGTATTTGTCAACATGAAATAAATCTATTTGAGAGTTATCCTGTGAGATTTACAGTATGCCCATGTTAATATTGGCATTCCATGTCCTCGTATAATTAGTATACTGTATAATCCCTTGTTAAAATGAAATGGGTTGACATTTTTCTTGTGTTCAACATGTATGATATTGGTGACAGATGTCGAGGCCAGGAAAATACTTTCTTCTTCCAATCCTGTTCCCATTTATGATGGGCAGGTCATTTTCAGGTGAGCTCTGATTCTGCTTGATGTTAAAGTGTCCAAGACAAGGTTTTGTTGAGTGATCTGAGGAAAATATAAGGTTGTATATGAAGAATTACTACAGAATATATCTGCTGATTGGTTCAGCTGGAGTCTGACTTCATTAGTCATTGATAGTGAAACTGAGACCAACATGTGTATGCCGCAGTGATGTATTACGGTGATGCGTAGGCTGTGAGCATGCCATTGACATAAACAGGCTGCTAATGTGTAACTTGCATACAAGCATGAATTCTCAGCTAGCCGCACATCTTTCTGCTGATTATAACTCAACCAATATATTCTGTATACCCAATGTACACATATAATCACCAGTAGACTAGCCTCACAGTATTGCTACTGTTTCATAATCTGATCGAGAACTTGACTAAATCTATTTAACAAGTCATTGTGTTGTAGTTACATAATGCTGATCAGGGTGATATATGGGGTTGGAGTGCTATACAATGTCCCCTGTAGTTTTTGGGTACCTTGAGGGGGTATTATTACTATATTGCCTTGCTCCATATGATCACACAAGTATGTTTGTTACGGAGCCTAATGATAGGTCAGCATTGTGTTGTTGAAGTTATGAGTCAGTGTCGTGATTACCTGTTATATAAGGTTTATATTTCAGCCTTAGCTTGCTGCCTTATGACTCGCCTATAATTACCCATAATGACAAGTCATTTTCACAATATTCTACACATGTTGGATCTTGTTCAGTTTGCCAATACATCATTTTATGGACTAATCTAAGTTTTAAAGGAACCAACCTTTTTCTGAAAGGAAAATCATATTTCAAGACATAAGGGAGTATTAAAAATATTTTTCATCTACTAAAGCAACTTCTTAAATTAAGTTAAATCACTGGTCAGCATTTTTACTCTTTAAAATACTTTTATCATTTTCACTTTTTACTGACTTTCACTTGACCGTGGTAAATTTATTAAGTGATAAATTTGTGTCAAACTTTATCAAGACATATTGAATATTTTTATGAAAGTTTTGAGTAGGGAATCTGCAAAACAATAGGGGGGGGGGGGGGGGGGCTGTAAAAATTGCCTTGATTGATCCTGGTAACTGATCTTTAGTATTAAGTATGAGTTATTTATATTTTTTTATACCTGTGTGAGCTTAAGTATTTAGTATATATTATTCATATTGTGGTAAACATATCTCGCACAGTAATGACGTTATCCCAATCAATGAGTATGTGTGATGGTGGGCGATTGATACCAGAGTCGGTTGCCTGCCCGTGGCCAGTCCTCACCTGCTGCCCTTACCAGTGTTAGTGAAGCCCCATCCTTCATTCCTCCTCACACTTCGTTATTGATAAGTTTCTCTTCCAGCAAACATTACATTTCTTTTGCTGAAGAGAATAACTCCCGAGTGATCATCTAGAATGCCGATATATTTTATCAAGTTTCACTACAGAAGGTCTAAGATTACTATATAGGAGATGGAAAGCATTCATAAATTTAGTATTGATCACATATTTTTTCACCATTTCACAATCAAGTTGAATCCTCTATATTAGATAATATTTGCTAGAATGATTTATTTCATGTACCTGTCAACAACAATTTACTGTGTTATGTAGAAGAGTATAAAACCAAGTAAAATGATGTAAAGTGATGACTGATTGTGAAAAATGAGAGGGTTTTTTAGAAATGGAAATTTTATCTTGATCAACAATGCAGAACTAAAAGCAGTGTTTACTTTAAGTTGGCTTGCATGGTGGCTTTCAACACTGGTAGAAGTGTTGTTGTGGCAGGAGCTGGTTTAAGGAGATGAATCCTCTTGTTGTTAGAGACAGGTTCCACCAGCCTTACCACAGTATCATGCACCAGTCACAATGTGTGTGCCAGTATTATCCATTGGTGCCTGCTCTGTACAATTTACACAGGTCTAGCTGTTTTATTTCCTGTTGACTTGAACTGATCAAGGATGAAGCGTTACATTAAAATATATATATACATATTATTCTCCAAATGCTTAAACTATTATATATTTACAGTCCAACTGTTCATTTCCAGGTGGTGTTACATACTGCTGCATCTTTCAAGTAGCCTGATCAGGGGTCTATGGTATATTTTGTTTGTTGGTTTCCCTGATTACCAGTATAACATATTCTCTTAAGTCTGGCAATACCTTAATATACTAATATTTGATTTCAGGAAAATCTTGTCACTGTGTAATTTTGTCTAATCATTGATTAACATTTTATAGTTTTGTTTACTAACTCTTAATTAAGTAATTTTACATTTTATAATTATGCAAATATCTATCAAGAAGAAAATTACTATAGATATAGCAATGTTTAAATGTGATGCTTTGGTATTTCCAGTTCAGGTAAAAATAGGTAAGTTTTCAATGATTATAAGAGACAGGACAAGTAGGTTTGTAAAAAGATATGTTGTCCTGTGTTATTTATTAATATGATCTCAAGGAAAACAGTTCTATTTATATGGAAATGGTGAATACATTGTACATACTACATACCAGAAGTGTTGGAATGCTGACAGACATGCTCTGATAAAATGCTATGTAAATAACTTTGTGAAGATTTATCTTTCCATATGATCATGATATAAACCAGGCCTCAATTTTTTGAGAAAATTCGGTATTTTAGGTATAATTACTGAACATTTGTGAAAGATGTAAGAAATTTCTTGCAAAATTTTCTCATGGATTGAGAAAAATAGAAAGTCAAAAAATAATTATTTTGCTGAGGTTATTAATCAGATTATAATTTTTTATTTAAATTTCATAGAATATAGAATCAGGGTGTGATTATTTTGAAATGAGATGAATGACCATTGATTTATAATTCAAATAAAGTGTATTCAACAAAGATTGAAGGGGGGGGGGGGGGGGGGGTGAATTTTAGAAATTGGAACCATTTGTCTTCCAATATTGCCGGTTGTGTCATTTTGAAAGAGGCTAACACTACATTGCATGCTACATATATGATCAGCAAAATGTTAGCCCAACATTTTGCTGATCATATATGTAGCATGCATTGTATATAACATATGCTACAAAGTTTAATGTAATATGTGTTTGACAGAACCTGAACAGATTACTGCATGTTAAGTTTCCTTGATCACTGTTGTGTTTCAGCTGGCAACACAGTTTGAGGTTTGTACAAGGTGCTGTATGAAAGGTTTTACATGTTAAATTTCAAACCCTTGTCTGTTGACAGGTGCCTACAATCCAATCACTGGAGAGGAATACAGAGAAATTCAAGTGCAGGAGGCTGCTGTAAGTTGTCATTGAAAGACATTTGCTTATAAATAATAAGACTTACTCAGTCGTAATCTACATCTGATGTATAGAAGATGTTGTTATTGGTTTTTACTTCTATGGGGTGATTATTTGGATATTTTAGGTGAGGGGCATAGCACAGCATAGAAAAATAAAGACATGGGTTATTCGACACCAAAATATGTAGAAATCAAATACTGTGTAATGAAGTCACTGTAAGACAGTGTTAGGACTATTGTAACATCATAATTGACAAATCTCATTGCTTTTTTTCCTGCTTAACCCTGCTCTATTATTGGTCGGTTTAGTGTGATAATAACAAAAATTGTTATTTGTCAAAGTAAAAAAACATTAATTGTAATTTCACTGTAAAACTTTGCTTGTTCTTTGCCATTACTTCAGAAGGGCTGATCATTTTCTGATGAAACTTCATTATGACTGTGCTGTATGATAGATAACTCACCTGTTCAATTAACAAAATTTGTGGAATGGGTGATTAGGAGGTTTCAACTTTCTATAGCATGAAAGAAATGAAAATAAATTGTGTGCAAGTTAGTATCATTACTGGATGTTAATACTTTTGTATATGTACCATAAAACATACCTTGTTTACAGAGTAATGGTGATGGTCCTCAGAAGGTCCGCAATAGCTCAAAGGTGCTGGCCCCACCAGGCGGCAAGTCCAGTGGAATCTTCTAGGCCTGAGGCCTCAACCAGGACATCAGGGTTACTTTGACAACGGGATGGAACAGCAGAGGATCGCACTGATGGCCAACTCCGATGTGCTGGTATACCCTAACCTTAAAACTGGATGTAAACTTTCTCTCGTAGCATTGTAATAATGCAAAGTGCTTTAGGTAATGTCAAAAAAACTTGATGTGTACATAATTATTTGAATTTCTTTATAAAGGAAAATATAACAAAAATAATTGGAATTTTGAAAGTTCAGCTTTTTGCAAGATGTTTATGTATATGGAAAATATTAGATCTAATGCATGGATTCATTATTTTGATTTGTATTTTTGTGATATTTATATTTTGGGGGGAAATTGCATTTATTCAATTTACTCTGGTCATTTATGAGTTCAAATTGTTAAAGATTTAAAAGGTGATACTGACTATTTTTTCTTGTTCATTTATGATAATATATATTGACCATTGGTATGGCATGTGTTCTTACTGCCAAGTTTTGCTTCATTTCTCATCTGTTATATTTTCCCTATAAAATAGTCTCAAAATGCCATGATAATTGCTGCACTTAGTTTTCCCAGCTTTTCAAACATTGGCAAGATCAACATTTTATAGACAATATCAAATGTTGTCTCCCTTTAGGTAATGGTAACAAATCTGCATGCTTTTTCATAGATCTAGACATATCATAATTTTATTTTTACATCTTACTCCTCCTGTATCCTGTAACTTAACTACACCTTATACTGGTCAATATATCTGTGACGACTAATGTGTTATTTGTTATGTATTTAAGTGTTATGTACCCTTCTCTGCCCACAAGAGCTGTTGACTTGTGTAATAAAGACATGGCCTTGTGATCTGATAAACAGTGACAAAGCACTGGTACATGTGACAAATGTTCCATGATGATATATGTGTAAATAGACCTGTGGCAGAATCGACTTCCATGAACAAAGGGAGATAAATCTTGGTTCAAGAACAGTATTTAATTCCAAGGTTATCCTAGACATTACACATGTCACTCCTAAATGCAAAAAAAAAAGAGGAAAAAAATTCACCCTTTACTGTCTTCCGTCTTGTGAAATGAGATTAAAGGAGTTTGAGTTAATCCGAGTGTAGGACACTATGAGGTTTGTTTGTTTTTTGTGTTAAAAAAAATCATTCTTGTGTTGTACATGACATAGAATTCAATTTTTCCCCATCATGGTTGGATATTTTTGCTTGTTTTTGAAGCGTAGATGGTATCTCATTCACAACTACTTACTCTGTATTGTTGCAGCTGTTCTATATTTTGACCAGATAATGTTTTTTTGAATCCTCAATATGAAAATGGTTGTCCTTGTTTATGCTTTACATGATAAGTCTATGCAATAGGCATTACTTATATATACATAGGTCAGAAACTTGATGACAAATGTTAAGTGTTCAGATTTCATTTTATTTCTTTTACAAAATACAGACCAAGATTTTTTTTGTGTTTTTTGTTTAATTTTGACCCTAAAGATGTTTTCGTTATACATGTACATGTATTTGTGTATACATTTTGACCCTAAATGAAGCCTCATTTTATACATGCAATAAAAGCATTTCAAAATTTGAGAGAGAATTCGTGGAAGATATGCAGTGCTGTCTTGTCTGTCATATTCTGAATTCACTAGATGTATACATGCCTGCTTCTAATTGAAAATTGTGTTTAAGAGATTGGTTGTTAGTTGTAGAATTTTCGTTGTTATTCAGACCAATCATAATGAGGTGAAGTTTTAAAGCAGGTTATTGTCTTGCCAAAGTGATAACAATGTGTCGTCCCTGTAAGAACCAAATTATACACACTCTAGGGCTTTCCGAGTCTATCCATCACAAGACTTTTCAGATAAAAACAGGCTTTAAGAGTGAAATAGTTATTTAAATGGTGAGCTGTAATGATTATTATTATAACACTATTGATGTACTTTGTATGCAACCGAATCAATAATTTTTCATCAGGCATTGAAACGGGTACCATCGTACGTTGTCTGAAAGGTGATATAGATCTGGTAGTTGCAGTAAATTTGTACTGCTATAAGATTCATGATGAGCATACATGTCACAAAAGAATGCATGTTTTCATTTTTTAAGTATTTTTGAATCTAGCTCATCTTGTCTAAAATGTGGTGGTTAAAACTGTGATGTTATTGATGAAAGCCTAGGTGTGATATAACAAAGTTATAATTCGTCTTTTTCGTACTAATGTGTTGTCAAAGTTGCACTCAATAAATTCTATATACAATTCATCTACGTTAACTTATCTGTTTTGTGTGTTGATAGTGGTACGGCACTGCTCTAGTCACATCAGTATTCGGGGCGGAAAAAACATTTGATGTTCTTTACCAGTAAGATTGTAATTTCTTTCTTTGCTAATACATGTAGTAGATTCTTCAGCCAACATGTAACATTGTAGAGATAACTTTAATGACGTCAAATATCAGTAAGTAGTTGTGTGGAATAGATCAGGTACTAAACAACATGTTTATCACATGACTACTGTGATGTTCAATCAATACGCCCTTGTCATATATTTTTTGTATGTCTCATATGATGTCAAATGATAATGAAATGATGCCACATTCAGGTATGTTAATGTTACTAAGAGGACAATAGGTGTGGTCATGATAATGGAATTTATGGTTTGCGTTATGCCTTTTTTGGTGATATACAATTTTTCTTTATAAAACAGCTATTTGTGTCTTTCATAGATACCGTATATGAAACTCCAGAATTCATTAAAAGTTAAAAATTCTTCAGATACCTAAAATTTATATGGAAGGGACCCCCCCCCCCCCGTTAAATTACACAATAATGCTTAAATCTTTTCAAGATTGAGCACATTTTATCAATTTAACTTTGAAAAGAGGTGAAGGATTAGCCATTATCAGCAAGCTACCAGTCAAAGTGTTCGACAAATGACATACTTAAAGTTATGATATTTGAGCTGTTGTTTTCTGGGATGAAGCACTGTCAAGATTGTTTTAACAAATAACCTCTGCCTGTTTTTACTATCATGGGTCAAATAGTGAAAATCATCAACAGCACAAAATATATCCTTTATATGCAAACCAGGTGAGCTGTAGACTTCAACCGCACCCTGTAGCAAGAGGTAAGATGTTGGTAAATCATGCTCCTGTCAAATATAATTACATGCCTTATATTTGGACTGGGATCCTCAAGTATAAAAGGTATCTACCACCATCTGACAATGCACGCAAAGAAAACAGTCAAGTATAACAAAGGTCAGTCACACTTCCATCAAGATTTATCAAGGAATCGGTCATACTTTGACAAAGTATACCAAAGAACAAGGGGACAGTCACATATTAACAAAGTATTGATAGATAACAATGGGACAGTCACACATTGACAAAGTATTAATATATAACAAGGGGACGGTCACACATTGACAAAGTATCAATATATAACAAAGGGGACAGTTACACATTGACAAAGTATAACAAAGAGACAGTCACACATTGAACAAGATGTAACAAGTGAAGGGGACAATTACACGTTAATAAAGTGTACCAAGGGAACAGTCACACATTGACAAGGTATTAATATATAACAAGGGGACAGTCACACATTGACACAAAGTATAACAAAGAGACAGTCACACATTGAACAAGATGTAACAAGGGGATAATTACACGTTAATAAAGTGCACCAAGGAAACGGTCACACATTGACAAAGTGTAACAAGGGGCAGTCACTCATTCACAAAGTGTAGCAAGGGGCAGTCACTCATTGACAAAGTGTAACAAGGGGCAGTCACTCATTGACAAAGTGTAGCAAGGGGCAGTCACTCATTGACAAAGTGTAACAAGGGGCAGTCACACATTGACAAAGTGTAGCAAGGGGCAGTCACTCGATGACAAAGTGTACAAAGGGACAATCACACGATTACAAAGTGGACAATTACACGTTGACAAAGTGTACCAAGGGACAGTCGCACAATGACAAAGTGTACTGAGGGAACACTCACACAATGACAAAGTGTACTGAGGGAAAAGTCACACAATGACAATGTAACAAGGGACGGTCACGCATTGACAAAGTACAACAAAGGGACACTCACACATTGACAAAGTGTAACAAGGGGACTCGCACGTTCTCAAAAAGTAGCAAGGGAACAGTCACACAATGACAGTATAACAAGGGGACAATCACATGTTGACAAAGTATAACAAAGGGACAGTCACACACTGACAAAGTGTAACTAGGAAACAATCACACGTTGACAAAGTGTAACAAGGGGACTCCCACGTTGACAAAAAGTAGCAAGGAAACAGTCACACATTGACTAAGTACAACAAGGGGACAGTCACACATTGACAAAGTACAGCAAAGGGAAAGTCACACATTGACAAAGTGTAAAAAGCGGACAATTACACGTTGACAAAGTGTACCTAGAGAACAGTCACACGTTGACAAAGTGTAACAAGGGGAGAGTTATACGTTCACAAAGTATAACCAAGAATCAGTCACACATTGACAAAGTTTAACAAGGAAACAGTCACACATTGACCAAGTGTATTAAGGAGAAAATTACACATTGACAAAGTATAACAAGAGGACAATTACACATTGACAAAGTATAACAAGGCAACAGTCACACATTAACAAAGTGTAACAAGGCGACAATTGCTCGTTGACAAAGTGTACCTAGGGAACAGTCAGATTGACAAAGTTTACCAAGGGAACAGTCACACGATGACAAAGTGTTACAAGGGGACAATAACACATTGACAAAATGTACCAATGAACAGTCATACAATAAACAATATAACACGGGGACAATTACACGTTGAAAAAGTGTACCAAAGGACAGTCACACATTGAAAAAGTATAACAAGGGACAGTCACACGTTGACAAAGTATAACAAGGGACAGTCACACATTGACAAAGTATAACAAAAGGACAGTTACACATTGACAAAGTATAACAAGGAAAAAAATTACACGTTGACAAAGTATAACAAAGGGACAGTCACACATTTAAAAAGTTTAACAAGGGACAATTACACGTTGACAAATATAACAAGGGACAGTCACACATTGACAAAGTACAACAAAGGAACTGTCACACATTGGCAAAGTGTAACAATGGGACAATTGCACGTTGACAAAGTGTCCCAAAGGAACAGTCACAGATTGATAAAGTGTACCAAGGGCCCAGTCACACGTTGACAAAGTGTAACAAGGGAACAGTCACACACTGACAAAGAATCACAAGGGGACAATTACACGTTGACAAAGTGTACCAAGGGATAGTTACATAATGACAAAGTGTACCGAGGGAACAGTCACACATTGACAAAAAGTAAAAAGGGACAGTCACACATTGACAAAATATAACAAGGGACAGTCACACAATGACAAGGTGTAACAAGGGAACAGTCACACGTTGAAAAAGAATAACAAGGGACAGTCACACGTTGAAAAAGTATAACAAGGGGACAGTCACACATAAACAAAGTATACCAAGGGACATTCACACATTGACTAAGTACAACAAGGGGACAGTCACACATTGACAAAGTACGGCAAAGGGAAAGTCACACGTTGACAAAGTATATCAAGGGAACAGTCACACATTGGCAAAGTGTACCATGGGAACAGTCACACAATGACAAAAAGTAACAAGGAACAGTCACACGTTGACAAAATGTAACAAGAGACATTCACACATTGACAAAGTGTAACAAGGGAACAGTCACACGTTGAAAATGTATAACAAGGGACAGTCACACATTAACAATGTACAGCAAAGGGAAAGTTACACATTGACAAAGTGAAACAAGGGGACAATTGCACGTTGACAAAGTGTCCCAAGGGAACAGTCACACATTGACAAAGTGTAACAAGGGGACAATTGCACGTTGACAAAGTATATCAAGGGTCCAGTCACACATTGACAAAGTGTTACAAGGGAAAGTCACACATTGACAAAATATAACAAAGGGACAGTCACACGTTGACTAAGTATAACAAGGGGACACTCACACATTGACAAAGTACGGCAAAGGGAAAGTCACACGTTGACAAAGTGTACCATGGGAACAGTCACACATTGACAAAGTGTAACAAGGGAACAGTCACACGTTGAAAATGTATAACAAGGGACAGTCACACCTTGACAAAGGATTACAAGGGGACTGTCACAAATTGAAAAAGTATAACAAAGGGACTGTCACTAGTTGACAAAGTTTAACAAAGGGAGTGTCAAACATTGACAAAGTGTCCCAAAGGAAAAGTAACACTTTGACAAAGTGTAACAAGGAGGGGACAATTGCACGTTTTACACAGTGTCCAAAAGGAACAGTCACACATTGACGAAGTGTTACAAGGGAACAATTACACGTTGACAAAGTGTATCAAGAGAAAAGTCACACATTGGTAATGTATAGCAAGGGGACAGTCACACATTGACACAATGTAACAAGGGACAGTCACACATTTACAAAGTGTTATAAGGGACAGTCCCATATTGACAAAGTGTAACAAGGAACAGTTACACACTAACAAAGTGTAACAAGGGAAGTCACACATTGACAAAGTGTAACAAGGGACAGTGACACACTGACAAAGTGTTATAAGCGACAGTCACATATTGACAAAGTGTAACAAGGGACGGTCACACACTGACAAAGTGTTATAAGAGACAGTCTCATAGTGACAAAGTGTAACAAGGGACAGTCACACACTGACAAAGTGTAATAAGGGACAGTTACACATTGACAAAGTGTAACAAGGGAAGTCACACATTGACAAAGTGTTATAAGGGACAGTCACACACTGACAAAGTGTTATAAGGGACAGTCACATATTGACAAAGTGTAACAAGGGACAGTTACACACTGACAAAGTGTAACAAGGGAAGTCACACATTGACAAAGTGTAACAAGGGAAGTCACACATTGACACAATGTAACAAGGGGACAGTCACACATTGACACAATGTAACAAGGGACAGTCACACATTGACAAAGTGTTATAAGGGACAGTCACACACTGACAAAGGGTTATAAGTGACAGTCACATATTGACAAAGTGTAACAAGGGACAGTTACACACTGACAAAGAGTAACAAGGGAAGTCACACATTGACACAATGTAACAAGGGGACAGTCACACATTGAAACAATGTAACAAGGGACAGTCACACATTGGCAAAGTACAAAAAAAGGACAGTCACACAATGACAAAGTATAACAAGGGAACCGTCACACATTGACAAA